GAACCCTCTGGGGCCAGGAAACGCCGACGGACATCGACGGCCGGGCCCGAAGGGGACCCAGAGCTCCGACGTCGTGGGCCCCCAGGGAAGTCTGGACCCCTTCCGCGGGGGGCCCGCCTCCCATCCCGAGACTCGGTCCCCCAGGCCTGGCAGGGGCCCCAGGGGGCCGAAGACAGCCCGAGACCGTTTTTTTTCCTGCCAGCGAGAGGACGTGTTGCTCAGGGCGTCTTCGAGCGCGTTGCTTCATGTTCGACGATGACGGGCGTCATGGGGGGGGGGGCGGGGGGGGGGTATGACGTAACGCCCCCCCCGCCGTGTGGCTCGCACCACAGCCGCGCCCGCGCGCACGACGCGACGAGCGACGAGCGACGAGCGACGAGGGACGAGCGACGACGACGACGACGACGACGACGACGACGACGACGCGAGCAGCATGTAGGTGGCGATCTGCCCCACTGCACACCGCAGCTCTGGCAGGTAGGCGACAGGGACGCGGCACAGCGCCCCTGACCGCCTCGCCCGAGCCACAAAACGTGCCTTTCCGGCGAGCAGCGGATCTGCAGGGGGGGAGGTCGTCTCTTCGGATTGCTATGGAGCCCTCATCCGTGAGTTCGCACGTGCCCCACTCCTTTTCCTACATTGGCCGCTATAAAATCAGCCGTATATGCTTACATTGCCTAAACGCTAAAATATGCATTTGCATGTGAATACGTATATAGACATTTACATATATATATATATATATATGAACATAGATACATGAATATACACGCTTATGATCGAATGCTGCTTTAAATATGTGTGCATGATCGTGCTTGGAAGGAGGAGGAGGAAAGGGGAGCCTTGAATATCGTGAAGTGCAGGTGAGACGTGTTGCTCAGGGCACCCGCCGTGATGCTGTCAATGTCAGCCTGGGAGGGCGGCGGCCGCGCCCGCCGGGGGGGGCGACGCCCTGCGGGCGGGGAGGCTACTTCCCCCCACACCTCCCCCCCTGCTGCTCCCGTCCCCCACACGACCTCCCCCTCCCTCCGCCAAATACCAAGGCGAAGCCAGGACGAGGACAACATCGGGTGAGGATACATCGAGAATCTCCGAGATCCAGCGGCGCTGGAAAAAACCTCGGGCGCCGCGACCTTCTCGAAGCGCTTCGGAACGCTGAGATTTATCCTCGTCCTAGCCCTGTCCGAAATACCACGTCATCGGCTTGTCTCCTCCTCCTCCTCCTCCTCCTCCTCCTCCTCCTCCTCCTCCTCCTCCTCCTCCTCCTCCTCCTTACCTATTCTTCTCATCATCCGCCGACCCCTTGTGGGTCTCCAGGCGCATGACACTCTTACCCCACAACCCGCCCCCAAGCGCCCCGAACCCGGAACGTGACCCCCCGCCCCAGGCCCGGGGCGATCCACCCAGGGGCCCCGGGTGGCCCACCCCCGAATTCATCAGGGGAGGCCTGGCCCTCCCCGAGTGAGGGGGGTGCAATGTTGGTAAGAAACGTTCCTCTGCGCGGTGAGAGTCATGGTAACTCGTCATGTCCTGACGTCGACACCTTGAGCCCAAAAGGGTTGCGGGTGCGCTCGCTCCTGCTCGCTCCATCAGCTAGGCAGCTCCCTTCAAAGTCGGGAGGGCAGGGCAGCTCTTGCGAAGTCGCGGACTGCCTTTGGTTGAGGAGCTGACACCCCAGGCTCAAAATCCGAAGCTCGAGAAGCCACATTGGAAGACCGATTCGTCGATGCAGGCCGAATGCGATGTAGTGACTTGCAGGGTTGTTTACGTGGTTCGGTAGGTCTCGGCGCCCTGATGTCCTCCATGTCCAGGGCCTGCACGATCAGTTTCCCTTTCGGCAATCTCGTCCTCGAGCTCCTCCGATCGGGTCGAGTGCGCTCGTTGGCGAGCCGTGCCTGGCGTCTTCTCGTCGCCTGGCTCGGACGTTACTGATGGTGTCTTAGATGGCGCCACAGACTGCGCCCTCGACCGTGATCCGTCTGAGGGAGACTTGGATGTGCTAGGCTGAGCTCGAGAGTGCGAGGCATATCTGCCAGGCTGCTCAACGCGGTGCCGTACTAGCTGTTTCTCTTGTGATGCTGCTGGTTGGGTTTCATCATCAGCTGGCACTGGATCTCCATTACCTGTCGAGCCTGTCTTTTCGGCAAGCCTGGCAATCAACTTCGCCGCCTTCTCCTCGGCCTCCTGTTGGTCCCGAAGTGATTGTTCCTTTAGCTGCCGAATGGGCGCTTGACGTTCCCCTTTCTTACGAGTGTCCTCGCGCTCTTCCTGCGCCCTGCGAGTCCCCCCGCGCTGTTCCTCCTCCTCCTCCTCCGGCATCTGGTGCAGGTCCTCGGCCACGTGGACCATTCCCACTTGCATCCGATCACCCAGACATCCATCGTCTCGATTTTTTCGAGACACGGGCCCCCGACCTTCCGACCACTTCCCCGGGACCGGTTTTTCGTCCCGAGTCGTTTTTGGACGGTCCTGGGGCCCGGCGAGGGCCTCGAGAGGCCGAAAACCACGAAAAAACTCCGTCTCGATTTTTACGAGACGCCCGATGTCAGGGCATTTCGAGATGGAACATCTCCCCCATGGATCATGGCAAACCCAGCGCGCTGACGTTCACGTCGTCGCTGTTTGGCTGGAGGGGCTGCAGCGTCACGCGCGCAGCTCGCCCGCCTCGCAGCGCTTTTCTGGCGGCCCTCTTGGGCGCAGCCGTACCATGCAGTCGCGGTCGTTCGCGACGTCGTTATTCAGCCGGGGGGTCTGGCGAGTCCTGAGCCTCGGCGTCAGATCGCTTCGGGCTGAGGATGCACCCGCATCTGCACGTTGCCATGCCGGTTCCCTTTGGCGTGTCCAATCCAATGAAACGTGACCTCATGCTGGCGTAGTGCCTCTTCAGGCGATGGTAATCTGGCAACGCGTCGAAGTCGTTGTCGGTCTGAAACGCGCCCTCCTGACAGTAGCGCACCACGTCCTCGATCCGGGATGCAGGACCATAAACTCCATCACCGTGCCCTTCATTCCAGGGCGTAGCGCCCCTGCTAGGGCTCCTGGAGTCAGTATACACAGGACAGCCTGGCCTATGGTTCGTGTAAGGCTTACACAAGCAGATATGATGCGTTTCGCGGTGGGTTGCCCAAGCGGGGGGTGGAGAGAAAGGCCCTGAAGGGACCCTTTAGGGCCTCTTCTGGAGCCAGCAACGGCCCAAAAGGGGCCCTAAAGTGCCCGTTTCCTCACCCCCCCATGCAGGTCACCCCCATTTGCCACCCGCCCGATCCACCCGATTTTTTGTCCCCCGAATTTTGCTAGCAGTCAGCCGACCGTTGGGGTGAGGCGCAGCCTCTCTTTCACAGAGGTCCACGGCTTCGAGAGCCACTCACACCGAATGCGCGCCGCACGCCGCTACAGGCTAAACATAGAGGCTACACGACGGCACAGCCATCGAGGCAACGGCCAACTTTGCAGGCCTGGAAATTGGCACCAACACCAGCACAGGGGTTTGCCTCCACATGGGAAAGATGATCCTAGATTTCGGTGTTGGTGGCAATATTTCGGTCACCTTGGAAGCCAGAATATTACCACCATCACCGAGATCGGGATCGTCTTCCCTCGGTGGAGGCACACCGCCGATCTTGGTGTTGGTGTCAACCTCTAGGCCTGCGACAACTGCCGAGGTAGAGAAGAGGGCGAAGAAGGGGAGGCGGAGGGCCAGCACGCCGCTCTCCAACCGTGGCCCGTGCTGCGCCGCCCCGAGCTCCGGCGCGCCTGGCAGCGAGCATCGTCGCCTTAAGTCGGGCCTGTCCCCCTACAGGCGGAATTTCGACGAAAAATAAAAATATTTCAAACATAATCAAAATATAATCCAAAAATTCTGGGGACTATTTTTTGATTATTTTCTGGCCTTCTTGGGGTATTTTTAGGGTATCTGTTATTTTTAGGGACACGCCCGACATAAGCGTCGCCCCGGGGGGGGGGGGGGCGGCCGAATGGAGCCCGGCTCCGCGACGCAGCCTGCCAGGCCAGGACGGCGCCTGCCCCGCGGCCGGAGCCTCTGGGGCGGGCAGCATGCAGCGCGCCCGAGCGGCAGCCTCGCCGCCACCGCCGCCGCGGAGGGAGGATGCTCGAACTTGTCACGCGATGCTCAGAGACTGGGGGGGGGACAAGTCGTGCCCCCCCACACTTTTTTGATCTGCGGGTCGAGAGCGGGCCTCTTCCGGTTAAGAGCTAGGCGGGGCGCGCCAAGCACTAATTGGGGAGACAGGGCGCGGGCGGGCGGGGCCTCAGGCGGCCGGAGGGCGCGGGTGGGGGGTGCCCCCCCCCCACACACACACACACACACACACACACACACACACACACACACACACACACACACACACACACACACACACACACACACATTGCTTAGATGGAACATCACACGCTCTTATGGCTGCCAGTGGCCACAAAAACACGCGTCGACGACCCGCGACGTCAACCTGCTGTTGCAGCTTGGCGCACCAGGCGGTCCGCGGCAGCGCGGGCGCCCGCTGCCCCGCGGAGAACGCAGGCTTGAGCCAAAACAAATTGGCTACGGAGCCTCCTCCTCCTCCTCCTCGTCCTCCTCGTCCTCCTCGTCCTCCTCGTCCTCCTCCTCCTCCTCCTCCTCCTCCTCCTCCTCCTCCTCCTCCTCCACAATTACTCCAATATGAATACTACTCTCCCTCTTCCCCTGATGACGGTTTGAAAATGCTCGACCCCCCCCCGCGGACTGTTTTTTTACACAAGGTTTCCCCGGAGTTGGGTTTTCGCCTGCATTTGTTTCCAAAAAATGCTGCTCTCGCTGAGGCGCCGGCCTCATTTTCGGGCCCCGCTCGTTCCGAATCGTGCTCCCGCTGCAGCGCTGGCCTCATTTCCGTGCTTCCGCTCGTTCCGAATCGTGCTCCCGCTGCAGCGCTGGCCTCATTTCCGCGCTTCCGCTCGTTTCGACTCGTGCTCCCGCTGCAGCGCTGGCGTCATTTCCCGTGCCATGCCACGGCATGCAATGCAATGCTACGTTGATACTACGCTTTGCGGTGCTCTTCTACGCCATGCCATGCCGTGCTCTACAATGCATCGCGTACCCTTTCGGGATCATTGCCCTGCTCGACATCCGACTGTGCGAGTAGAGAGGGGATCTACGCCATGGTAAGGGATGGGAGGGAGGGGTAGGATGTCAGATATGACGCGAGCGCACCTGGCTTGTCCTCCTCCCCCTCCTCCACCTCCTCCTCCTCGTCGCCCTCCTCGTAGATGGGGAGGAGTGTAGCGAGACTCGCAGGCTCCCAGGCGCCGCGAATGAGAAGTCGAATACCCGCTGCCAAGGGGCGATCTGCTCCAGCTGCAGCGTGCACATCAGCGAGAAGGAACCCCCAAGCTGCTTGTGGAAGCCCAGCTCCTCCACCAAGTTGAGCGGATGCTGCCACCTGTGTGCTTTCCGTGCCAAGTCGCATAATAAGTCTTGAACCACGACTCTTGACAACTCTAGAGGCATCCTAGATGGGGTCCGAGCGGATGGGGTCGGAGGATCTCGCCGCATCGCCGATGCATCGGCGATGCATCGCCGATGCATCGGCCATGCACCGGCGACGTCGGCGACGATCGGCGACGTCGGCGTGGAGAAAAACTGGGCCCCGTATCGAAACGCGTCGCTGATGCATCGCTGATGCATCGGCGATGTGGTGTGATCCTCCGACACCATCTACCCGAACTCATCTAGGAGGAGGAGGAGGAGGAGGAGGAGGAGGAGGAGAAGGAGCAGGAGAAGGAGGAGTAGGAGGAGAGGAGGGAGGAGGAGGAGGGAGGGGAGGAGGAGAAGGAGGAGGAGGAGGAGGGGGAGAAGGGAGTAGGAGTAGGCGTTAGGAGTGGAGTAGAGTAGGAGGTTGGAGTAGGTGTAGGAGTAGGTGTAGGAGTAGGAGGACGGAGGAGGAGGAGGAGGAGGAGGAGGAGGAACAGGAGGTGGAGGAGGAGGAGGGGAGTAGGTGGAGGAGGAGGAGGAGAAGGAGGGAGGAAGGAGGAGGGAGGAGGGAGGAGGGAGGAGGGAGGAGGGAGGAGGGTGGAGGGAGGAGGGAGGAGGGAGGGAGGAGGAGGAGGAGGAGGAGGAAGAGGAGGAGGAGGAGAGAGGAGGAAGAGGAGGAGTGAAGGAGGCAGGAAGGAAGGAGGAGGAGGAGGAGGAGGCGGAGGAGGAGAAGGGGGAGGAGGAGAGGAGGAGGAGGCAGGAGGAGGGAGGAGGAGGTGTGAGGTGGAGGAGAGAGGTGGAGGAGGAGGAGGAGGAGGAGGAGGGAGGGAGGGGAAGGGGGAGGAGGAGGATGGAGGAAGGAGAGGAGGAGGAGGAGGAGGAGAGGAGGAGGAGGTGGAGGATGGAGGAGGAAGAGGAGGGAGGAGGAGGAGGAGGAGGAGGAGGAGGGGGGGCGCCACGTCTGCTTCCACCGGCTTCCGCCGGCAGCTCCGCCCTCGCTCGGCTCTGCCTCTGCCGGCCCCCGCCGAGCTTCCGCCGAGGAGGAGGTGCCGGCTCCTTCGATCTATCGAAGGCGAGGCCCTGCCCAGAGCGCCCCATGCAGTCAGGTCGCACAAGAAGGATGCGCGGTACGGATGCAAGGGCCTCGGAGGGCATATGCTGGCGTTGTTCGAGCGAGGCTGGCCAGCGAGAGTTGCCAAGGATGGGCCGAAGGGGCAAGGGTGCAAGGGCAGCCTTGGGAAACTGTTCATCCTTCCTATGCGACTTGACTGCAGCAAGCAATGGTGCTCACAGCATGCGCCAAGAAAACCCTTATTCACCAACAGACAGCTCACAATCATCGACACCACCGCACCATGCAAGCGGCCCCCCGGGCAACTTGAATAACGAACAACTAATACGCCAGCGTGATCCGTGAAGGAGGAGGAGGAGGAGGAGGAGGAGGAGGGAGGCAGGGAGGGAGGGAGGCGGGAGGCAGGAGGCGGGAGGTGGGGTGCGGGAGGCGGGAAACGGGAGGCAGAAGGCGGGAGGCGCGAGGCGGAGGAGGCCTGGGGTCCACCTGCGTGCAACGTCCTCCCCTCCCGAGGGCTCCTGGGTGCCCCGACGCCTCCTCGTCCCTCCCCAAAGCGGCCACGAGATGCCCAACATGACATCCAAGACGGCCGAGGCAGGCCCCCACGGCCGCCTAGATGGCACAAGATCCGCTCAATACGTACCCAGGAGGCCCTCAGAAGCGCCCAGTGGGTCCCAGGAGGTAGTCCGCAGGCTCCAAAACACCCCCAAGACGTTCTCCAGGAGGCCCTCGAGGAGCATTTGCCCGTGTAAACGTTTCCCTCTCCTCCGACGTTGCAGCCTGTCCCAAGGTCTTTCGACCACGTCCCCACCACGACAGGATTCTCATCCTGAAATGCTTCTTGTAAACCCCAAATCTCTGATTCCTGTGGCAGGAAGATCGCGAGGAGCGGGCTCCTGGACCCTCGCCTGTTCTGCTTATTCGCCGTCTGCCTGTAATTGTGGGCTTGCGGCCTCTCCGCCTACCTCTGCTGTGCCGCCTCCGCTTTGCCGCCGCCGCCGCCGCTTTGCTGCCGCCGCCCAGGAGAGCCAAGGGCAAACAGCCCTCGTGCACCAGGCGCTCGCGCCTTCACTCGGCTCCCCGACGGGGAGCGCCCAGGGAAGCCAAGGCCAAAAGGTCCTTGTGTACTAGGTGCTCGCGCCTACGCTCGGCTCCCCGATAGGGAGCGGGTCCCTGCCTGGACAAGGCAAGCCCAAGGCAGCCGCAGTTCCTGGATAACGAACGGGCCCCTACCTCGACAAGGCAAGCCCACGAGGCATTGCTCGGCTCTCCGATAGGAAACGGGTCCCTGCCTGGACACGGCAGACCCACAAATTCAGCCGCAGCTCCCGGACAAGGAACGGGCCCCTGCCTGGACAGGGCATACCCACGCGCGGCAAACGCTCGGCCCCCCGAGAGGGAGCGGGCCCCTGCCTGGACAAGGCAAGCCCAAGGCAGCCGCAGTTCCTGGACAAGGAAGGGGTCCCTGCCTGGAGACGCCTCATCACGATAACGATCTTAGGGATGTCCTCAGTTTCTGAGGGTGTATCCCTCAGATTGACATCCCCCTTTAGCGTGTCAATCTTAGGATAGGGACAAGTTCGAGGCTGGTGAAAACCCACGCGGCAGCCGCGGCCCCTGGACAAGGGACGGGGCCCTGCCCGGACAGGCCAGACCCTCGCGACTCGGCGCAGACCCTGAACGGCGCTCGGCCGCCGGCAAGCCAGCAGGCGAGCCAACGTGCACGTGTCGCCGCGGATTGCCTGGACCAGGTAACCGCGGCGACAGCGCACAAACGACTGGCTTCCCGCCCGCCCTCTCAGCCCTACTCTTCCTGGTTCGGCCGGTGCTCTGCCCAGGTGTTGGGGGGGGGGCGCTGGACCGTCTCAGGATGCCCACCTGGCAGTGCGTCTGCCGCGCTGCCCTGCGTCTCGCACGAGGGCACCGGCCGAACTTCTGGTGACCGGCTGCCGTGGTGCTTTTCGACGGTCCGGGGATAAGGAATCAGCATCCTCCTCCTCCTCCTCCTCCTCCTCCTCCTCCTCCTCCTCCTCCTCCTCCTCCTCGTCGAAGCAGAAAACAAAAACAAAAAAACTGTCACTACTTGTTGCGTGGCCCAGATGTGAGGTTTCCGTGTCCACCGCTTTCCACGCGCTTCGGTCGAAGATCTGTCCACTGGCAGTCTTCGACGGCCCACGAGAGCGCACGCGGAGCCCCAAGAGAGCCCTCAGGCGGCCCAGGGATGGCCCCAAGGGAGCCACAGGCTGGCCCAAGGACTCGAGACGGCCCAGGAGAAGGCCCCCGAGATGCCCCAAGATAGCAAGAAGGCGGCCCCACGACGGCCCCCAAAGCCCCAGACGGCCAAGCTTGCCCCAAGACGGCCCAAGGGGGCCCCGAGGCGGCCCGAGAGGGCCCCACGACGTCCGAAGGTGGCCCGAAGGAAGGGACCCCCAAGACTGCATGACAGGAGCCCAATATAGCCCCAAGGTGGCTCAAACAGCTCCACAGGAGCTCCCCACGACGAGGATACGAGAAGGTGTCACATGTGACGGGCTTCTGGGCCGCCCTTTAAGGATCGCCATGCAGAGTGCCTCTCTGGCAAGGTGGCAGACTTTCCGCAGGCAGCTGCATAAACATAAACACTTGAAGGTCCGAAAGATCTCTTAAGTTCGGCTACACGCAAGAGTGACCCCAGGCAAGAGTGACCTTTGGTGCGCGACTTTCGGGGGCCGCGGGGAGGCCGAACTGGATCGCGCAAGCCGCTGCTATCGCATCTCGCTCAGCCATCTGGGGACCCCAATGAGCCCGCACCAAAGGTCACTCCGGCGAAAGGTCACTCTTGCGTTTCACCGATAAGTGTGCGCTGGACCCCCCCCGCCCCTGGCGGCGCGTCCGGCGCCGCCCCTGGTGCGCGCGCCAAGGGAAAGGGGGCCTGGCACCGGCGCGAGAAATCCGCGCGGACCCCCGAGAGCGCATGGTCATGCCAGTGTGAAGGGGCCCAGGGACACACACACACACACACACAAAGAAGTAGACACACATAACCGGATTCCCCGTATGTTCCCATCTTTTCTAGGCTTTCGTCTTCCCCCCCACTTCCAATATTTTCCCATGTGCTCCTGGGAGTCGACGATTCTAATTGTGTCTGTGTGTTTCGTTGCCTCCAGACAGTTGCCCTCTGGGCAACGGCAAGCAAGGCGGTGTACGCGCGAGGACATGGCGACTCGACGCCGCGGCCCACGCGGGGCCGCCGGCGGCCCACGCGGGGCCGCCAGCGCGGCACCTCGCGCCGCCGTGGAGAAAAACGGCGCTTGCGCGCGGCCCTGCGCGAGAGGCTTGCGCGCGAACGCCCTCGTGCTCGGCGGCGCTCTGCGCGCACAGGGGCCAGCTGTAGACCAGCACCCTTCCTGGCCAGGCCCGGCACGGCGTACAGCTCCGCCCTTTCAGATTCTGCGGGAGGGGAAGAGAGCGGTGAGCATGACCAAGTCTAAAAGGCGGAAATGTCGGCGTCGATCTTGGTCACCGTCCATCTTGAGTCGCCGTCGCTTCGTGGATCACCCTCGCGAATCAGCGACGGACAGCATAGACCACGATCAAAATCGGCGTCGACAAGATCCCGCGACATCTTGGTAATGGTCGGCGTGCCTTCCCTCGATTTGCGGGGATCATCGGGCGGGTAATTATGTGGGGTGACCTAGACGGGGGGGGAAGAAAAGGGCCCTAAAGTTAGGTCGGGCATGTCCTCCTACAGGCGGATATTGGAAGAAACATTGAGCTACACCAAAAATAATCAAACATAGAACACGACAATCGTCACGAGACTATTTTTTCTACTCTTGAATATTCCTCCTGTGGAGGGACATGCCCGACTTAATGGTCATGGGGGGTGGCCTAAACGGGGATAAAGGAAAGGGCCCCCAGGGGCCCCCTTCGGGTTCCTGTCTTCGCCCCCCAGTGAGGCCAGCCCCCATTACCACCCGCCCGATGAGACGAAGCCAGGACGAAGATAAACTCGGGTGAGGATACATCGGGAGCATCTAAGATCTGGCGACTCTGGAAGCTGTCTCGGGCTCCGCGGCCCCCTCTGAGCCTCCTCCTCCTCCTCCTCCTCCTCCTCCTCCTCCGCCTCCGCCTCCGCCTACGCCTCCTACTCCTCCTCCTCCTCGCTCCTCGCTGATCCTTGCTCCTCCACCTCCTCCTCCTCCTCCTCCTCCTCCTCCTCCTCCTCCTCCTCATCATCATCATCATCATCATCATCATCATCATCATCATCCATCATCATCATCATCATCATCATCATCATCATCATCATCATCATCATCATCATCCATCCTCATCCCTCCCTCCTCCTCCTCCTCCTCCTCCTCCTCCTCCTCCTCCTCCTCGTAGCCCCCTTCGACCCGGGCTCACCTGGACACGTTGCCCGGGATCCGAATCAGAGGCTTCACCTTTGGCGGCGCGCAGAGAGGAGTAGGGGGAAAGGGGGGAAGGCTTCTTAGAAGGAGGCTGCTGCTCAGAAGGCGCTGGCCCTAGACCTACAGAAAAAGCCCGCGCCCTCTGAGAAGCCGGGGTGCTTCTGAGAAGCCTCCCCCCCTCCCCCATACCTAGAAGAAGAAAGAGCGGCATAAACATAACTTTTTGGCGCTCCGCGCAGTTGTCTTGGATCTGCGCCGGACCCCCCTCCCTGGCGCGCGGAGCGCGCCAGGGACGGCGCCGGAGGCGCCGCCAGGGGGGCCCAAGCGCAAATCCAAGGAATCCGCGCGGACTTCCGAAAGTTTTAGGTTCATGCAGTTGTCCTTCTTCGATTCTAAGTAAGAAGCCTTCCCCCCTCCCCTAAAACCTTTCGGTGGCAACTCATGGGAGCCTCCCATACCACCTGGTCGGCTCTCGCGAACCGACGCTAATCCACGCTAAATCGACGCTAATCGACGCTAAATCAACGCGAACCGACGCTAGCCGACGTCAAATCGGCGCCATCTCATCGACTCCCAGACGCTAATCGATGCTAGTCGTCGCTGAAGACAGACAGACTTGCGAGGGTACACAAGGCTCCCATGATGACTTAACTACATACCAGATCACCCCAACCCAACCCAAAGACCCGAATTTGACCCGAATTTCGGGTTGGGCGGGGTACGGGTTCCAGATGTGCTTTTTCAATGTTCCCCGACGCCCCTCCCCCACTGGAAATGGAGGGCAAATCGGAGCCTTCGGGTTGGGTTGGGATCTCTTGGTGGGCGGTGATGATCTGCTACTGAAAATGAATATCGTTTAACCGATCCCCATCCCCAGCGGCGTGGCCTGGGCCCCACTGGCCGATTTACCACCCTAGATAGGGGATATAGGCAGTTCCCTTCGAGTTTCGAGGGGTGCATCCCCAACTGGGGTGGTAATCCGGTGGGGGTCTCGAAGGGGATGGGGATGGGGATCGGTGAAACGATACCGAGAAAAATAGAAAAAGAGAAAACCACATAGACATAAACTTTTGTCGCTCCTCGCGGAATTCTTGGATCCGCGCCGGAGCCCCCTCCCTGGCGCGCGGAGCGCGCCAGGGGCGGCGCCGGAGGCGCCGCCAGGGGGGCCCAGCGAGGATCCAAGAAATCCGCGCGGAGCGCCAAAAGTTGCATGTTTCTGTGAATTCTCTTCAAGAAAAAAGGCCCCTCTGCGCGCGGCCGTCGCCTTCTTGAACGTGCTCCCGTGCCTCCGCAGGTGCCCCCGCTCGCCCAGCCGGCTGGCCCCGTGCGCCCCGGGGGACGCGCGCCCCGCGCCCGCGCGCGGCTCCGGCGGGCCCTCGCCGCTCGGGGCGGCACCCCGGGCCCTGGGCGCGGGGGCCCGGGAGCCCGGAGGGTCGGGGGATCCTGTCGGGGGCGACGGCGGGGGCGGCTCGGGCGCGGCCTGACCGACCCCTCGCAGAAGCCATCCCCCTTCCACGGCGTCCTCCTCGCCTGCCGAGCTCCCCCTCCAGGCGCACACAGGCGTCCCTGGGGGGCGGGGCGAGAGCATCACGGAAGGGGGCGGCTTGCTACAGGGTGCGGTTACAGGCCGCCCCTGAGCGGATGGCCGAAGGGGGGGAGCAAGACATGTGGCGGGTTCCAGAAACCCTGAGCCCAAAAACGTTTTCATCTCTTTGGGGCGTCTCTTTTACTTCCGCCGGCCTTCCGCCGGCGGAGGCGGCCTCGTTCTACTTCCGCCGCCCTTCCGCCGCCTTCCGCCGCGGAAGAGATGGCAGCTCCTGCGATCCTTGAAGGCAAGGCCCTTTTTAGAGCGCCCCACACGTATCCAGGGGCGCCGATGGTCCATGCCTTCGGCGAGACTCCCGGACGACGACGAGAACGACGAGGACGACGACGACGACGACGACGACGACGACGACGACGACCTTTGGCGGCGCGCAGAGAGGAGTAGGGGGAAAGGGGGGAAGGCTTCTTAGAAGGAGGCTGCTGCTCAGAAGGCGCTGGCCCTAGACCTACAGAAAAAGCCCGCGCCCTCTGAGAAGCCGGGGTGCTTCTGAGAAGCCTCCCCCCTCCCCCATACCTAGTGGAAGAAAGAACGGCATAAACATAACTTTTTGGCGCTCCGCGCGGTTGTCTTGGATCTGCGCCGGACCCGCGCCAGGGACGGCGCCAGAGGTGCCGCCAGGGGGAGCCCAGCGCAGATGCAAGGAATCCGCGCGGACTTCCGAAAGCTCAGGCTCATGCCGTTTTGCCTTCTGCGATTATAACAAGAGCCTCCGCGCGGCTTTCTCGGGGCGCCGATGGCCCGTGCCTCCGGCGAGGCTCCCGGACGAGTGCGTGCCACGCCCGCCTCCTGGGCCGATCCGCTTGTCTTACCGTCGCCCATCCTGGGAGGCGCAGGGCGTCGGCCTCCCGCTGGGTCGGGGGCTCCTGGCGGGGGGGGGGGAGGCGAGAGGGGTGGCCGGCGGCCAGCCCGGGGGGGGGAGTGGGAAGGAGCGGGCCTTCTCAGAAGGCTCGGGAGTCCCCCCAGCCTTCCGAGAAATGCTCTGAGCCTTCCCCGAACAAACAATAACAACAACAACAACAACAACAACAACAACAACAACAACAACAACAACAACAACAATCATTTAGGACTGGGGACACTCCGTTCTCACCAGTGCCAGGGTTTTCATAGGAGGCGGGCAATACCCCCACTTTGTGGGGGGGCCGGTTCAAGCTCTACCAAATTTCCAAACGACTCTTCGCCACCACCCACACCCAGCTTCCCGCCCTATGACGTTCGGACACTTCACTTCGTGGCATGCGGACGACCGTGGCTACTATTCAGGGCCCCGCGGCCGACGACGACGGCGTGCGCGCGCGAAGAAAAAACGAATGTGTCCCGCATGGTATTATTTGACAGGGATGATGGCCCTGGCAGGTGCGCAACCGTTGTCGCAGAAGTTCGAAAAAGTTGCTCGCAAAAGCCCGTTTGACAGAAATGTTTAAAAAGTGTTGGGTTTCCTACGAATCCGCAAGAGCGCGCGGGATGAGATTTTGACATTTTTTTGTTGAAAAACCATTGGTTTTTTGATGTTTTTATGTTAAAATCGCTCCGAACACTAAGCTTTTGGAAGGATTTCGTCTTGCGCGCGCGAATGTCCACTTTACCTTATTTTTTGCAAGGGATTCTTGAAATTTGATTATATTAGAACAAGAAATGTCATTTTATAGTGTTTTTTGCAAGGGAAAACGGATTACAACAAAACAACCGGATCTGGATCACATCGTTTTACCTGAGGCTTCCTCACGAAAATGATGAAAATGTAGCTGCGGCCTAGGCGCGGCGAGGGGGGGCGTGCACCAGGGGGCCCAACAATAATTATTCTTTAGAAGTAATAATATTCAACAACAACAACAACAACAACAACAACAACAACAACAACAACAACAACAACAACAAGGACAGGGACATTCCCTGGGCCCCGGCGCTCGGGCTCCTCCAGCGCTCTCCTCCTTTGGGGGACAGGGACCCTTCCCAGGCCCCGCAGCGTCCGGGGACCTCCCCCACCCCGGAACAACACAACACAACAAAGGTCCGGGTTTAATGAAAAACAAAAAACTCCATCTCTATCAGAGGTGGATCCATCCTTCATGCCATGTTGCAATGTTCTGCACCAGCGAAGCTCTGGAATCCCATGGGAATCCTATGGGAATCCGATGGAAACCCTACGAATCCTGTAGGAATCCGATGGCAATCCTACGAATCCTATAGGAATCCAATGGGAATCCTACGAACCCTGCACGAATCCTATAGGATTCCTCTATAGGTCCTATATGGATCCTGTAGGAATCCTGTAGGTATCCTATAAAATTCCAATTAATTCTGCACGAACATAAGACTCCTATAGGAGTCCTATACGAAACCTATATGAATCCTATAGGACTCCTACGAATCCTATATGAATCCTGCAGGAATCGTGTAGGAAGCCTAGAAAGGGATCCTTTGAACCCTGTACGAATCCCGAAAGAATCCTGTAGGAACCGCAAGAATCTTTACGTAATCCCATAGGAATCTTCGGAATCCTATACGTATCCTTAGGATTCCTATAAGGACCCTACGAATCCTGTATGAAATCAAATAGGGATCATACGAATCCTATACGAATCCTATATGCATCCGATGAAATCTCTATGAATCCTATGTGAATCCTGTAGGAATCCTTTAGGAAACCTACAGGAATCCTATGAACCCTGCACAAATCCCACAAAGGAACCCTATAGATCGGAATCCACGAGGAATCATATGAATCCTATCGGAATCCCATAGGATTCCTATAGGAATCCTATGATTCCTGTATGAATCCTGTAGGAATCCCACAGGAACCCTATAGGGACCCGATGAATCATATACGAACCAATTTAGAATCCTACGGAAATTCTATGATTCCTATATGACTCCCATAGGAATCCCATAGGAATCCCATCGGAATCCTGTGAATCCAATACGAATCCTATAGGGATCAAATGAATCCTATATGAATCCTGTAAGAAGTCTGTAGGAAGCCTAAAGGAATCATATTAATCCTAAACGAATCCCATAGGAATCCAATAGGAGTCCAATGAACCCTACAGGGATCCTATAAGAATCCAATGAAATCTGCACGAATTCCATAAGAATCCTATAGGGATCCTATACGAATCCAAGACGAATCCTATAGGAATCCTAAGAATCCTGTGCATCCTAAGCGAATCCTATAGGAATCCTACAGGAATCCTATGAATCCCATACGAATCCTATAGGAATCCTATAGGTCCTATATGGATCCTGTAGGAACCCTATAGGAACCCCATAGGGACCCTATGGAATCCGATTGGATTCGTATAGGCACTCTATGAATCCTAAACGAATCCTATAGGAGTCCCATAGGAGTCCTATGAATCCTGAACGAATCCTACAGGCATCCTATAGGAACCCTATGAATCCTATACAAGTCCTATGCGAATCCTATAGGGCCGGTGGATTGTGAGAAACTCTCAGGCGGGAGCCCTCGGCGTTGTTGTTGTTGTTGTTGTTGTTGTTGTTGTCGTTGTTGTTGTTGTTGGTGGTGTTGTTGTTGTCGCTGCTGTTGTTGTTGTTGTTGTTGTTGTTGCTGTTGTTGTTGTTGTTGTTGTTGTTGTTGTTGTTGGGGGGAGGGGCAGCCCAGGGCACGACGCGCGTCCCTATTCAACAACAACAACAACAATAACAACAACAGCAGCAACAGCAACAACAATAACAACAGCAAAGACTCTCGGAAGGCCGGAGGATTTCTGAGAAGTCCTACCGCCGATAGCAGAGGGAATGGGGAGAAGAGAGTGTGGGGAGGTCCTCATCCTCCTCCTTCTTTTTCTTCCTCATCCTCCTCCTCCTCCGCCTCCGCCTCCTCCTCCTCTTCCTCCCCCTCCTCCTCCCTCACCCCCCCCCTCAGGGGGCGAAATGGGTAGAAAATCAGCTCATGCAGCTGGTCTTCTCAGAAGGCTTGGAAGTCCCCCAGCGTTCTGAGAAAGTTTCGAAGCCTTCTCCGAAGACACAGAAAAAATCTCGCAGAATGCTGGAGGGCATCTGAGAAGCCCCACCGCTGATAGCAGAGGGGATGGGGAGAAGAGAGGATGGGGAGGTTCTCCTCCTCCTCCTCCTCCTCCTCTCCTCCTCCTCCTCCTCCTCCTCCTCCTCCTTCCTCTCCTCCTCCCCCTCCTCCTCCTTTTCCTCCTCCTCCTCCCCCTCCTCCTCCCCCCCTCCTCCTCCTCCTCCTCCTCCTCCTCCGCCTCCTCCCTCCTCCAACTCCTCCTCCTCCTCCTCCTCCTCTTCCTCCTCCTCCTCCTCCTCCTCGTCCTCGTCCTCCTCCTCCTCCTCCTCCTCGTCCTTCTCATCATCCTTCTCATCATCATCCCCCTCCCCCTCCCCCCCCCTCGGAGGGCGAAATGGGTAGAAAAATCAGCTCATGCAGCTGGTTTTCGTGGAGCCTCGCGGAATCCAGGAGGCGCCCATGTATCGAGGGGTGGGCCCGGCGGCGGGGCGGAGACCAGCTGCATGCTGCATGCAGCAGATCTCCAGCAAATCTCGTGACCCCCCCTTTCCCTATCATACCCTTTCGTCTGGCCCGATCCTGGCAGGAAGGCAAACACCAGAAGAAGAGAAAAAATGGCACGAGCACAAGCCTTCGGAGGTCCGCGCGGCACTCCAAAGGTTTATGCCTATTTTACGCCGCCCATTTTATTACCCCGAACGATACACCAAAACTTGGACCAGGCCAGTCGTGGGCCGAAGATTGGTTTATACGCCTTTCGTGCCTGGGGGCGGCGTATGCGCCGATCTTGCGCCCAGGGAGGAGCCTGGAAGATCGGTGTGTCGGTGTGGAGCTGTCGTCGTGCGAGATCCCGCTCCTGCGCAGAGCGTCCACTGTCGGACCCGGCTAGCCGCCAGGGCAGCACCACAGCGTGAGCGAGGGCGGCCTCGGCGACGATGGCGGCGAGCAGGGTCTGTACGCGGAGCCTCGGCAAGCTCATATGTCAACAGAAGGTGCGTGTGCGTACTAGCTCATATACGAAATGCGGTAAAATACGTATGCCAACGTGTTGACGCCGATACCAGCTTGAGATATGAAAACTGCGGAGAGATGATAACAACGTGATGGCGACGACCGTCACGTAGCATTTCAGAAGCTCACTCATCGGGTGTGCCGTGCCCGTGGTCTTCAATGAACTCCTCAACAAGCCAAAGATGGAGATGCCAACTTCTCCGTTGCTTCTGGCCCCCTCTGCAATGAACCACAGAACCGAACCGCGAACCGCAGAACCGAACCGACCAAGGGAGAACCCACGGAACCGGAACCTATCAGAAACCCGACGTGAACCGAAACCAAACCGAACCGGAAGCGGTGGAACCGAACCGGGCCCGAACCGGGAACCGAACCGGGAACCGAACCGGGAACCGGTCGTGGAGGTGGACCCTTGAGACCTACCCGATGCGAGCACCCACTCTTGCGCTAGGTCCATCCCACCCGCCCCCAACTCCCCCCCAGCGCCCCCGACCTCCCTCGTCCTGTTTTGCTGCTTGTCCAGGGCCGAACTGGATGGGAGGGCGGCGAGGGGGGAAACGAGGAGGATAAGCCCTTCTCAGAAGGCGGCGGGACTTCTCTCAGAAGCCCTTCGGCCTTCTGAGGGGTCTTATGCGTCTTCGGGGAGGCTTCGAACACTTCTCGAAGGCCGCGGGACTTCCAAACCTTCCGAGAAGGCCCGCCCCACCTCACTTCCCCCCCTCGCTCGCCGCCAATCACTACACATCCACCACATATAAGAAACCCCCGCCCACCGCTCCTCCTCTCGGCGTCTCCCGGTCCAGCACGCAGGCGGCCTTTGCGCGGCCGCGCGATCCGCCCGCTTTTCTGAAGGGTCATCCACAGGAGGCAAAACGCAACAGCAAGCGAGGTACTGGACGCTGCGAACGCTGCCGCGAGGGAACTGTAGTCAAGGAAAACAGGAAAAACACTGCCTGGGGCAGCTGGGCGACAAGCCGCTGAGCGTCAGCGGCCCTCAGCGGCACTACTTCGGCAAGGGGCGCTGGTGGAATCGAGCACTAGCGCTCGCCAACTACCTAGGGCAACTATATTCGCGCTTATCTTCGCGCTTTCGCGCCGCTCCCCCCAGAAACAGGATGAGGGACTCGCGCCTCGCTCTAAAATCGCCCAGACCGCCAAGCGCGACTAACTTCGCACCCTCGTGGTAGCCCTAGACTGCATGCTCGGAAAAGTCCACTGGACCATCGGGTGGTCGCAGAGGGCCTCGACCGCACCGAAACGACAGAGGCGCGCGGGTTGAGAAAAGCGGCCCCTCGCGCGCGGCCGCTCATGCCCCGAGGATTGGCACGCCCGAGATGGGTACGGAAAAATGGTGACGACAGTCCAATGCAGATGAGCGACGAAGATAAACTGGTCTTGCGCGAGATGGCACAGCGAACTTGCGCAGTGGCTCACGCGGGCCGCCAGTGCTAGGGAGCCCACAGAGGACGTACGCGCCCAGCTAGTACATGAACACGGTCCCTTGAAACGCGAGACCAGCCGCGTGACACGAACTTTCGCGCAATGCAAACTCTCGAAACCAGCGTGGATTTATGTACGTGTACGTCCTTCTTTCGCTCATGAAGTGCGGAACGCCACATTGGAAACCGGGGCGCGCACGCGCCGTCTCACGCGGGCACCTCGCGCAGAGCTCGGCGCAGCCGCGTCCGCCTCTCTGCGCCTCTCACATGCTGTCCAAGCGCCCCTCAGTTAGAGGCCTCCTAGATTTATGTCGGGCCTGTCCCCCTACAGGGGGATTTTCGACGAAAAATTAAAATACCCCCCAAATGCCCCAAAAAGGTAAAAAAAGTACCCAAAAAAAAGTCCCCAGACTATTTTTGGACTATTTTTAATTATGTTGGAAGAATTCTTCTATTTTTCGTCGAAAATCCCCCTGTAGGGGGACAAGCCCGTCGGATCAGATGGGGTCGTAGAGTCGCGCCGCATCGCCGATGTGTCTGCGATGCATCGGCGATGCATCGGCGATACATCGGCGATGCACCGGCGATGCATCGTCGCCGTGGGCGATGCATCAGCGACGTCGACGTGAAGCAAGTCGGGCTCCACATCGAGCCGCATCGGCGATGCGTCGGCGACGTGGCGCGATCTTCCGACCCAATCTACTCCGACCCCATCTAGGATTAGGTCGGGCATGAGCCCTCTACAGGCGGATTTTGGACGAAGAATCAAAAATGCTCCAAAAAGGCTAAGAATAGTCGAACATGGTCAAAAAGTCGTCCCCAGACTATTCCTTTGACTCCTTTGGAATATTCGTCCTGTAGAGGGACAGGCCCGACTTGAACCTAGGAGGCCAAAATCAGCATCGAAAGTGCACCGCCCGCGGCGACGCCGCCAGCGAACCCGCCTCCGAAGGGGACGGGAGCTGCTGCCAGTCCTCCGAGGCTGCTCCCGAGCGGTGGCCAAGCAGGAGAGGCGCCGGAGCATCGCGCCGCACGGCGCCGCACGGCACGCCGCCAAGGCGTCGGCGATGCATCGGCTGCGCACCGGCGACGCACGGGCGCCGCCGCTGCACGTCGTTCATTTCCAATCGTGCTCGTTTCTAATGGTGCTCGTTTCGAATGGTTCCTGGCCCCCTAGTGGCCAGGAAGAGGCCCAGGACAGAACAATTAGAAACGGGAGGATCCTGGCCCCCAAAAAATCAAAGAACTTTCGAAGAATTGGAAGCGAACAAACGAACAATGTGTACGCTACTCCCGATCGGCCCGCAGGCCGTGTCAGCGCGGAGTTCTTCCTGAAGGCCCCCGTGAACGAAGTCTGGCGGTTTGCTTCCCTTCTCCCCCCTGCCCAGCCCTTTTTCGCCCCTTGCCTGCCCGAGAAGCAGCCCACACAAGACGATCGCACGTTTGCCCGGGTACCGGAGGCGCCGTCGGCGTGGAGAAAATCGGGCTCCACATCGGGCCGCATCGCCGATGCGTTGCCGATGCGGCGCGATCCTCCGACCCCATTTAGGGTCAGACCTGGGACAGAGCGATATCAGAATATCCTTCAAGACCAGGAGGCATTCCGCAGGCCAAACTGAAGAGCATTCGAGGGTGCCCTCCCCCAGGATGCACAAGAACATCCAACAAACACGGAGAACACGAGGCTACACTCCCCGAAACGACCTCGATCTTGTCTCTCGGTCCGACCATAGCCCACGAAAGTGGGGACAGTTGCGCAGTTGGCAGCCCCCCCAGGAGGCCGCGGGTTAAAGGGCCCGACATATGGCCTGGGGAAGCCTGTGAAAAGAATAATCGAAACGACCGCCTCCAAACCGGCCATTTTGGAGGAAAAATGAAAAACGCTCAGAAACTAGTCAACAAATATTCAAAAATAGTCCCCACACATCGTCCCCGTACTACTTTTTGACTGTTTCTAAAGACTCCTCCTTTAGAGGGACAGGCCCGACTCGAGTCCGGCGAGGCCCTGCACGAGGCATGGGGCGCATCCCACACTCCGATTGCCGAGGTGCCACCCCTGAGCTGCGCTGTGCTTCGGCTGCCGTGCTCGGCCCTCTCGTGAACGAGCCGCCCAGCACGGCAACCGACGCTGCGACGCCCACGACACCGGCCTGCCCCCCGTCAACGCCCACCGCCACGGCGCTGGCGGCCACGCGCCGCGAACGTCTCTGGCCACGTCCACGAATCCAACCGCAGCGACGAACCCATCGACGCGGGCGACCCCAAGGGAAGGGGCAGATATGTTTCGGATACGTTCGGATATGTTCTAGAAATGATTTCGCCCCCAGGAGATGTTTCGGAGATGTTCCGGGTATGTGTTGCGGATGTCTTCGCCCCACCCCCCGAGGTGTTAAGAAATGTTCTGGAGATGTTTTGTAATGTTTTCGACCACCGGAGACGTTTGTCTGGAGATGTGTTTTAGATGTGTTCGCCCCTGGGAGATGTTTGGAGATGTTACGGAGATGTTTTCTAGATGTTTTCGCCCCTGGGATATGTTTGGAGATGTTCCGGAGATGTCTAACAATGTTTTCCAGGCGAGGTTCGGCCCGCGAACGGAATCGGGCTCGCTTGACCACCTCTGCTCTGCATTGTTTTTTGTATCATTTCAAGCGAGGTTCGCTCCATGAACGAAATCAGGCTCGCGCGGCCGCTTTCTCGGTCGGCGTGACCGCATAGTTTTTCGATTTCGTGAGGTGCATCGGACACGTTTCGGAAATATTCTGGCGATGGCTTGTAGATGTTTTCGCCCCCCCGAAATGATTCGGAGATGTCCCGGAGATGTTTTGGAGATGTTTTCGCCCCTGGAATGTTCCGGAAATGTTTCGGCAATGTTTTCGCCCGCCCCGGAGATGTTCGGAGATGTTCCGGGAAGGTTTGGAGACGTTTCCGGCCCCCTCGCAAATTGTTCGGAAATGCATGACAAATGTTTTGGACATATTCTGCCGCATGCGCGACGAGACCCGCCAGTTCCTGCAAAGGGGCCTAACCAGCCTCCCTCCTCCCTCCTTCCTCATCCCTCCTTCCCTTGGGTCCCTCCTCCCTCCCTCCCTCCGTCCTCAGATGTCCCTCCTCCCTCCCTCCCCCTCCTCATCACTCCTCCCCCATCCACCCCCCACGTCGCCCGTTACCACACTCGTCTCCCGCAACGCAAGGTCGAACCACCAAATCACGCGATCCTTCCACCCCACAGATGAAGAACCTGGGCCGACGGCGTGGCGCCCGAGTCGCTTCCAGGTCGAGGCTGCCCGAGTAAAAACTGGACAGCCCACTGCTCGGCGGCGCGGTGGCCTCGCCTGGGCCCGCGCCAGGAACACCACGCCGTGGGGCCTCCCGGGAGCCCACGAAAGGGGCCACACCTCCGCAGGTCCGCAGGCGACGATCCCCCTAGGGTTAAGTCGGGCGTGTCCCCCTAGAGGGGGATTTTAGACGAAAAATAAAGAAGTACCCAAAAAATAATCAAAAAATAAGCCAAAAATAGTCTGGGGACTAC